ATAAAACAGTTCAAGCATATCACAATGTTAGTTTAAATGTTTAACCTATATAAATGTGCGCTATTAGACGCATATCTGATCGTTTGTGCAGAGAGCTAAAGCGCACTTTACAGGACATGGAGGCGCCAGCGCGATCACTTGCATTGGAAACAACGTAAAATATGCCATAATTTTTGCTCATAAAGATAAGAGTAATACATCACTCGGAACTGTAAAGGGTCTACTTTTATTTCTGTGCACTCACAATATCAACAAAATGTTGTGCTTTTATAAAATAAAGGATAAATACAGGATGCACTTTCTGCAATTTTCGGACAGGAGCGCTTTACAATGATGAACCGAAACTCAGCGAATACTTGCGTCACAGACTTGCTAAATATATCTATAGAACATTTTAAATTACTACCTTAAAACTAAATAATTCAAATCAAAAACAAAAACTGATGTTGCTAAAACTGTAAAGGGTCTACTTTTATTTGTGTGCACTCACAATATCAACAAAATGTTGTGCTTTTATAAAATAAAGGATAAATACAGGATGCACTTTCTGCAATTTTCGGACAGGAGCGCTTTACAATGATGAACCGAAACTCAGCGAATACTTGCGTCACAGACTTGCTAAATATATCTATAGAACATTTTAAATTACTACCTTAAAACTAAATAATTCAAATCAAAAACAAAAACTGATGTTGCTAAAATGAACATTTTTGGTGTAATGAAATGTGTTTATGCGGTTTAAGGTTAAAAAAACACATTATTTTCCACAAACTGTACATTATTGTTTCTCCTCTATGCCCCGCCTTTTTGAAACGCGTCGATTTTTACAAAGCTCATCGGTCTGAAAAGCGAGGTGTGCTGTGATTGGCCAGCTATCCAGTGCATTGTGATTGGCTGAATACCTCAAGCGTGTGACGGAAATGTTACGCCACTCACCATACTGTGATGATGCCGTGTAAAGGCCTGAGCACCTCTTTTGGAAGGCCAAACAAAGTAGTTTCGCTTTCACAATAAAACACACCGTCACACACGGTGGGCTAGAGTGAGCGGCAGCGGCCTAGTGTGAGCACAGGCCGGGGTTTCTCTCTCTCTCTTTCTCTCTCGCGCACGCTGTTTAGGCATGTTTTGTGCCGTTGATCGTCGTCGTCATCCTTAATAAATAAAACATTTATTCATGCTTGGGTGTTGGCTGTGAATCCAGTGGAGAGAAATCCCCCACCACTAAGTGCAAACTGGCATTCGGATCTGCCTCCGTTTTGTTTGCAACGCCCTACCTTCCAACGATCCAATCAATTCCTGAAGGACGAAATCAAGTCCCGCCCTCTCATTTCAGATGCCGTTTCACTCGAATATACGTCACAGTAGAGAAGAAAAGACAATCGCAACTTCCGTTTCATGCCAACTTTAATGTAGCCTACGCGAGTTCTAGAGGTTCTGATGATTCATCAGGGTTGGAACAACTGGGAAATATTTTGGGTGCCTTTGTATTTCCCTTAATGTGGTCCCCCTATAATGAATAATTCACAAATTTGCATGAGATTCTATTTGAGCTGCACGCTGACCCCCCACCTCAATTCAATTGACCATTTAGAGGATTCTTTTCAGAAAACATCACAGTTACATCAGGCCAGCTGAGCACACCAATGCACTGAAAATGGTATATTCAGTGTCCAAAATATTTGGCCAAACAATAAACAAATCTATTAATTTATGTATGTTTTACATTTACTCACCCTCAGGCCATCCAGCATGTGATGATTTTGTTTCTTCATCTGAAAAGATTATTATTATTTTTTTATTAATTATTACATCCCTTACTCGCCAATGGGTCCTCTGCAGTGAATGGGTGCCATCATAATAAGAGCTGTTAAAAACATAAAACTAATCCACAAGCAATCCACACGACTCCAGTCCATCAATTAACATCTTGTGAAATAAATATATCAATATGTTTTTAACTTAAAATCGTTGCTTTTGGCAAAAATCCT